GAATTGAAAGGAACTGAGTGAATGAGACTGAGTAATAGATTTATTGAGGGAATTCCAGAGAATTGAGCCACTATGCTTAAGAGTTAGCTTTCTAGTGGTAGTTCGCACCTTCTTTATATGAATCTTAGCAGCGTTTCGAGTATTATAGTGATGAACATCTTTATTATAAGAAAAATATTGGAGAAACTGAGATGGTAAGGAAAAGGATTGATTAAGGCATTTGAACATGAAACATCCAATTTGATATTGGTTAAGTTGGTATACATTTAATAATTTAAACAAAGAAAATAGTGGTTTAGTATGATCCCTGAAGCCAGCTCCAGCAATAATTCGAACAGCTCGCTTTTGTAATTTGAGGATCCTGTCGAGGTAAGTGTGATAACAGTTGGCCCATACAATATTACAGTATTGAATATAAGGAAGAACAAGTGAACAGTAAAGGGTTCTTCTGGTCGAAACAGAGACATACGATTTAATTTTATTAATTAAACCAATAGATTTGGCCATTTTTATAGAAACCTTGTCAATATGAACCTTCCAGTCTAAATGTTCGTCTATTTCCTGACCGTCGATAATTATGTTTAGATTATTTCTATATTGGTTTAGGGACTTGTTTCTGGCACAAAAGATAATGCATTTAGTTTTCTTTACATTCAAAGATAATTTGTTCGTTTTGAACCACTTTGAGAGTTTAGAAAGCTCCTGGTTATTCTTCTCCACCAGAGACTTTAAATCCTTGTCAGAAGAAAATAAACTTGTATCATCCGCAAAGAGGATAAGATTTAGAATATTAGTACAGTTTGATATATCATTAACATATATAAGGAATAATAAGGGGCCTAATATACTGCCTTGGGGAACACCACAATTGATAGTTCTGGGGGACGAAATGCAATCTTTGAATTTTACCCTTTGAGTCCTATTTTTTAGATAGTCCGCAAACCATGACAATTGGACTGCTCTAATCCCATAATTCCTGAGTTTATTAATAAGGATATCATGGTCAACTGTATCAAATGCTTTGGATAGATCTACAAACACACCTAAACCAATTTTTTTATCATCGATCGCCTGGGACACATTATCTACTAAATCAATCAATGCCATGTAAGTCGAATGTTTTTTCCTGAAGCCATATTGATTTGAGGAAAATATGCAAAGTTTATCAAGGTAATTTAATAATCTAGTATATACGACCTTTTCTAATAATTTGGAGAAAATTGGAAGAATTGATATAGGTCTGTAATTGGAGAATAATGTACGATCATCAGCTTTGTAAACTGGAGTGACTAATGCAGATTTAAGTTGATCAGGGACTTTGCCTGATTCCAATGATTTATTGAATATATAAGTTAATAAAGGGACTATGGATGTTGATATTTGTTTAATAATGAAAGGATCTATAGAATCTATCCCAGGCGACTTATTTGAATTTAGAATTGAAATATAATCAGAAATTTCTAGTTCATTTGTGGGGGAAAATACAAATGATTCTGGGTATGAGCCCTTGAGATAATGGTGATAGGAAGCAGGAGTCCGGCCGTATGATTTGATCAGCTAAGTTGGCGCCAATATTAGTAAAATAACTATTGAAGGAATCGGCTATAAGTTGAGGGAAATCACAGTTTGATTATTTTTAAATATGTCAGGGAATTTGGAAATGGTCTTTGTTCTATTGATGAGAGATTTAAGAATCGTCCAGGTTTGCTTGAGATCATTTCTAGCTAGGTCAAATTTACAACAATAGTGGTGCCTTTTTGCAATCTTTAAGAGATGATTTAATTTGTTTCGGTAGGATTTAAATTTTTGCTTACTAGTATTAGTTTTCTTATGTATGAATATATTATATAATTTGTTCTTCCTTTTTATTGATTTCAATAACCCTTTTGAAATCCAAGGTTTACGGGGTAAATTTTTATGATTGATCTTTCTAGTTGGAAAATTTTGATCATATAAAGATTTGAATTTATCCAAAAATATATCATAAGAGATGCAAGGATCAGATGATTCGTAAACAGATTGCCAGTCCGTTGTAAGAAGCACTTACAACAAACATTTTATTTCAGATTAAATTCTTGTCCTGCAGACAAGACTCTCATATAAACATACGTCGCAATCAAACGACTTATGAGAACATATATCTTTCTGTTGTTTGAAATGGTTGTTTCAGTTAAAAATTTCAACTAAATATTAATTTTCGAGAACCATGCTTGTACATACAATTATCTATATAGATGCTAATATGACGAGGTTTTTTATCTCGGTTTTTACTACAAACTGGCTAAAATACGAACGTACTTAATAGTTTTATTTTAAAAACAGCGAGCAAGTATGGCTTCACATTATCAACTTGGATACGATAACAAAAGATTTGAGACGATCGTGAACCGAAATTTTCACTGTTCGATCAACTTTAACGTACTGTCTACCGATGAAAGAGCTTGTGATGTGGCGGAGAAACCAGCACTATTTCTGTCGTGGCTGCATCACGGAACATCTTCGCAGGAATTCCCATACATGCCCAACGTGTGGCAGCTGACGAGCTGATTGTCAAAACCTTAACCGAAGTCCCAAGCATTGTAAAGAATTACTTAACCGAACTAGGTATTTGGTGCGATTGTTACGACAGAAGATGTCGAGAGCTCGTACACTGTAGAATTTAAAGCGACATGTCACCGGATGCGGGTAATTGTTAATTGTTTGTGTAAATCAAGGTTGTGGTGAGACAATCAGTAAAAGAGATCGCATACACATCACGTGATCACGAGAGTGAATTGTGTCAATTTAGAAGGCTGAAGTGTCACAACTGCTGCGCAGAAACCAGCTCGATAATGGCGGGCAATCGCAAACCTGAAATGGAAATCGCAAACCTGAACACGAAAATGCATGGCGAACATCAACACGAATCAGTCGGATATGAAAACGAAATTGGCCAATATGACCAGGGAAATGAAGGATGTAAAAACGAAAATGGCAAACATGGAAGAAAAATGGTAAACACAGAGATGAAACTGAAAAACATGAATATAACATTGCCAAGTTTAATTTCATTTAAATTTATTTAATCACGCTGTAACCTATCAATAATTAAGCTGATTTTCATGTCATGGGGCCGTGAAAATCTTAAAGTATAGAACATCAGATTAACATAAGATATTAATTTCAATACTAATTGACAATGCTCATATATGAAAGTCTCTTAGTTACAGCAAGGAAAGATAAATTTGTGCTTTTGGACGACATGAATATCTATATATATATATATTTCTCTTTCAACATAGGGAAACAGCGAAATTAATTTAGGAAATTCTTGTTTGAAAATAGTAGGATTTTAATGTTTAACTCGGGATTTAGATTTTTAGTAACAATAAGACTGTGTTAAAAGAGAAATATTACAACGCTGATTTCAGACTATCGCTCCTTTATAACTAAACCTTCTCTTCATTGAGTTCGTGTTAGGCTTGGGGAGTTTTGGTAATCTAAGATCATTACTTCTTAAGTTGTCGTGCTTATTATCGCACTTTTCCAAAAGGTTATATATATAATCTCAGGAGTCAGGGCTATCACTATTTATAATTCCATTGCTCATGAGTTTTTTTTATAATAATTTTCACTTGCAGGCAAATGTGGAAGCGAATTAGTTCGAAACAGTGAATAATGAGGTAAAGGAATGAAAACGAGTTTAAAGGAACTAAAATGTGGCTTCGACCAGTTGAAAGAAGCAGTACTTGAGAAGATGGAGAGCAAAGAAAAAAAGCAAGAGGAAATCACAAGAAATGTGAATCACAAGAAGTGGCACAGCGAGTGGTGGGAGAGAAAAGCAACATATATTTGTGGCTTGTGGTGCAGGAAGAAACTCCGCAGAAATATTTAGCTACCGTTAGAGAGTGTGGCCTTTATTAAAGCCCATGGCTGGGATCGTTACAGCGCATCTTCATTTGTTTATGTGGCTGTTGCCGGAGGTTCGCGTGTTGGTGCGATTAGCATTTCTATAACGCAAACTTACATGTGAATATAATCAAATGCGCTTTACATCAAGTATTATACGCTTACCTAATTACATACTTAGCCTGGATTATTTTATCTTTACAACAATTGTGATACTACTTTCTTAACTGTGTTCATCCTAACTGATATACTCTGTGTTTATCCTAACCCACCTGTCAACTTTCCCTGTGGGAGAAAACCGGAGCACCCGGAAAAAACCAACGACTTTCGGCAGAGCGTTGACCGACTCTTTTCTACATTCACATTATACTCCTAACTTAACTAAACACAACTCTTGAGTTTTAACTCATCTATAAAAAATATCTTAGCATACTATTTATAGCCATGGGAACTGATCATGCCTTCCTAATAATATAAACCTGCAGACAATACATGATTAAAAATTTGCACAGCATGACCTGTTCCCATGGCTAGCTTCGCCACTAACAAGATGGTATCTGGCAATATTAATTATAACATACTCCTTTCAACACATGTAATTATATACAGTACTATAACATTACATATTAACTGCAGTTACATCTTCAACGCCAAAATACTGACAAACAAAGTAATAATAGGCACAGTCAATGTCCTGCCTTACCGACCCTGTGGAAGGGGGACTGCGGCCAATAACATCTACTCATGTCCAAATGTATGCGGTCAGTGCCCCACCTACCCACCCAGGGGCAAGTTGTGCTAACATAAAGATCGCAACAGGATTAAACTTGCCTTCTCCAACATATATAGCGACTGACGGATACATAATTGGTTGCAACCACTTATAAAACTTTCGCGAATCTTCATACATCCACTGTTCATCTTTACTAGGAAAATCCATCCCAAAAATACTGTTTAGACATGGGGTTTTTTCTAAATCATGGTCACGGTCATGCTCGTCATAGTCAACGGCAGAATCATCAACGTTATGTTTATTTCGCCGAATGTGAAAGTGTAATTTATTTTCCCTCAAATAGCCTTTGTCCTCAGGGTGGCTAGTGTAATATTCATATATTTTTGGATGAAAATGGAAGACTCCATTCACCAGTTCTAGCGGTGTAGGTAGTTCCTTTTTGTCCCAGGGAAATATAACGGCACAAATTTCATCTAGCCTTTTGTTGCCTGAACATTCGTTACCTATAATGAAATGGTTGCCAATATTTCGAAGGATTATGTAAATGGAAATTTCCAGCGTTAATTTTATACATTTGTTTGGATCTGACCCTCTGGCACAAATCGAAACTGCGGCTCTACAATTCTAGTGTAACGCTCTAATCAACTAAGCTAAATTGCATGGCGTATAGACCCATTGCACATGACGTCACAGCGCCGGTGACGATGCATCTGGAGGACAAATTAGCAATCTATGCATAATATTGATAACTTTTGTAAACAAAGCAAATTTTGTAAAACTTTATAATAATTTTGTATTAAAATGGTTACTTTTTGAGCTGTATGTGTTTGTTGTACTCGAACATATATTGTTATGAGCATCTGGAGGACACTCTAAGGATTTGTGACGTCAGTGCAATGGGTCTATATATACATGAACTTGCGGTTAGAGCTTGACTCTGTATAGCTCAGCTGGTTATTGTGCTGCACGGAAATCGCAGGGCCGATAGTTACAATTTTCGCAACTGCTCCTGGTCAGATCTGATGTGTAAAATTTACGCTCGAAATGTCCATCTACAAAACAAATCCCTCAACAATTAGTTCTATCCAGTGAGATACCAAACATCCTAACTGAAAAGCAGCCTTCACATATTTTTACAAAAACGTGAAAATTTATTTAGCCCCCAGACTCTATCCCCCCCCCCCCTAATAACCCCCCAGTCCAGAACCAAGGGGGGAAATAAGCGCCAAGGGGAAAGGGGGGAGGAAGTGAGAATTATTCATCGCAATGTGAACTGTTTTTCGGTTAAAAGATTGTAAAACATCAAAACATGTCACTCACCACTTTGCATACCCAAGCGAGACGCTTCACTTCTCATGTAAGTCAATATTTCAAGAGAACGAGAAAAACCTTGTAATTTTCTCGCATCACCAGAGAATGGGTCCAAACCATACGGATGAAAGACTCGACAGTTCCACATTGACGGAAATGGACGCATCACATATATATCGTCTTTCTCTCCGTCCTCAGAGAAGTAACAATACCTTTCAAAATACCAGAAAAAAGTAAGCAAAATAGAACTATAGATACATCCCTTGTCAACGCATTAAACATACATTAGCGAACTTAAGCAAGGCTTAATCTAATACCCCTGAATTTTCAGGGGAGGTACAGCAATTCTCAGGAGAATTATACAAGGTGCACATGGTCTTAGCTAGAAGGCCGTGTTAAAACGAACGTGGCTTTATTATTGATGTAAAGCCGTGCAGGTTTATATAGTAATGTATTAACTTACAAAAGACAGAATTTTCTCCAATTTGTGTCGTAAGAAAAAGTTTGTTAAATGTATAGTTTGTTGAAATTGGTAAAAGCGATCCGGTATGTTTTTATATGTAGATGGATATAGGTAATGGGAACTCGCCGCATTAAGCATATATTAGTGAACTTATAAGCAAGGCTTAATGTGGCTTAATGTAATAAACCCCTGAATTTTCAGAGAAGGTGCAGCAATTCTTAGCCTACGTGGCAGGCCCATTGAATATAGGTCTGCAACAATCTCAAGGAAATTTGGTATTTCGGGGTCGTGAGAGGACGCGAAAATCCTATTGGCTAAAATAATAATATATGCCAAAATACACGCATAAATTATGGCGCAATGTTTATACGCTTTCACTAAAAACGTATATTTTTGAAAGAGTACTGTGAATTTGGGTTTTAAACCAAAAACTAAACAGCTACAGATCGTTGAGATGTTTTGGCAGGTTTTCGCATTGGATATCTGCCTTGGCAAGTCAAAGAGCATGGATACACACCCATGCACGTGTTGGTATTTCTCTAAATAATACAAGGCCCGTTTACACGACAGTCGTTTTGGGCACGGCACGCTTAAATTTTGGCACGCGGACCAATTTTTTTGGGCACGCACTCCTGATTTTTGTCGTGTAAACGGCACCGGCCCTGTCCGATTGCAGTACGTGTACCTAAAATTTTTGGCGGGCCGAGACCATCTCTTGAGGTAGTCTCGGCCCGCCAAATAAGCGGCACCGTGCCCAAAATTTTGCTATTTCAGCACTTTTCGGTTGCGCGAAATATTTCGCGGGAATTAACATTAAGCAAAATGGCCGCCGTCAAGACTGAGAAACAGAGGGAAAGTATGGAGCAAGGAAGCAACAAAAACCCTGCTTAATCTGTAGTGCGATAAACCAATTCAGGTTTCATTTGATCAGTCCAAGGGATCTAAAGAAACTAGTAAAGTTTATCAGAGCCCTACGAAATTTGCAAATTTTGTATTAATTTGTATTACGCCCGAGGAAATGCACCACTTTGGGCCGAAAATGTTCCGCATTTTACAACATTTTGCAACCAATCTTTGCAAATGTACTAATTTATAATAGATAAAATGTACTAATTTATGGAGTCACTTTTGACTTCCATTACCGCTATCACTACCTCGCGCTGACCTGGTTTGCATGTAAGTGGTTCGTGGTTTCTAACTAGTGGTGCTGGTGCTGGTGGGGGTCAAAACTGAACCTCACAAATAATTTCACAGTAGTGTAGTTATGTATTTATTCTTGCATGTTTTATATAGTATAAAGGCCTGTAAAATCAGTATTTACGTTGTCCAGTTTGCGTGTTTTAGTGTTAGATGGATGGACTTAGTATGGGATCTCTCTCCTCCGAAGAGGCTTTAGTTTTCTTAGGATTTAATATTACGATGAAATACATTTCACTACACTTTACATGGCGGATCTTGGAACACGAGCGTAGCCGCTGGGCGAAGGAGCGCAGGCGGCAAAGGGAAAGGCGAAGGAAGGCGCGAAGCCTCTGCACGATTTGCATCGCAAAGTGGGACAAAGTGGGACAAAGTGGGACAAAGTGTAAACATCGAAACAAAAGGTGATTTTTAAGCTAAACAAGAAACGTCTTTTTGAAAATTAAATCATTATTTAATGCATGATTGATTGACCTCATTGACTAGTGCTTGCATGTTTGTGGATGGTCAAAAGTAATATTTTTTAACATTTAATACACAAAGCAAACAATCGTATATTTTACTCACCGCTTGGCCAAACATTCTGTATTACGTATCGAGAAAAACTTGAATATTTCTTGAACTCTTCGGAATTCGCCACCAGTCAAAGAAGTAAAATACTCCTTGTATTCAAGCGCTTTCGTGTAGAAAATTTCTTTTGAATATGGCCAGTAGAAATATTTATTTTTAATTTTTCAAAATGTCGGGTTTTTACTCGCACAGTCGCACGCGCCTGTCACACGCTGATGTTCGGGAATTAGTTCACAATCAGACCAGGAATGGACATACCATAATAAAAGATGACGTTTTCAAGATACAAGCTCAAAAATAACACTCTAAGTAGTGTTTTGAATTCGCTTTCGAACAAGAGTAATACAAAGAGGATGCGTCCCAAGGATCCGAAGTTATGTTCGCCGAAAGGTATGCCTACTTTGCCTAGTTTATATTTTTATCAAGTGTAAACATTGCGTGATTTGATATTAATGTACAAAATCCCGCTTGACTTTCAAAGGTCGTAAATCGCTATAGTGTTGACATTTCACTAAAACTATCGATAGAAACTAGGAGATATTTTTGTACTGAATCGAACGGTGGTATTTTCATCTACACAGCGTATATTGAACCAAAGATACGAACCTCCAAATAAATTAGATCGAAACCGACTGAAGGTCGCGTTTGTTTATAAATATTGCTGAAGTTGAAATAGTTGAATTGTATTTTCAGTCTTGATAATAAATTTAATAATGGTTCTGTATGCTATACATACTCATTTTTTTCTTTTATGCGGTTTTGGACACATTTCTAAAAATACGAATGTCAAATATAAATTTAAATAAAAGTTTCTTCGCTTGCAACCAAAACCTGTTCGCTAAAACGTTGTTTCCGTGCATTGTTTTATACTGTAGATGGAGACCTTGTGTAGAAAAAATGCAGATGTTTTCTCGCAAACTGAACATAACACTTTCTTATTTCGTAGAGCTAGTAAATAATCTCTTTGTCAGCTTGTTGCAGTTTTTGTAAAGAGATATTTTCTCAGTCATTTTGACTTGAATTTTGCGTTTGATAATTATACGCCCCCCCCCCCCGGTTTACCGCCATATTGGGTGTGGCATCGTGCAGAGGCTCAATTAAAGCCTCTGCGGAGGAGAGAGATATGGGATGGAGGTTTTACAGAAGTAAGGATAGCCATTTCTGCATCATATTTTTGTAAAATATTTTTGTAGACACCAGGCTTTGATATATTCAGAAATAATAATAACCAAATGACTAGACATGTGTTTCTCAGCTGGGGGGGGGGGGGAGCTTAATAGAGAGGGGTGCAAGTTAATGAATTTCTCCCCCCCTAAAGACGGGTCATATTAAAGATGGGGAGCTCATTAAAGAATTTACATTGAAGGGGCATCCAGAGTGATGCTGTCACCTGGCACAGGTGCTTGTAGATTTTCAGCCGGGGGTGTACTGTTGTGTGTCTGAAGTAAAATAATTTCTCCACACCTGACAATTTCATTTCAAAAATACATTTGGAATTTTATATCAAGAAGCAAATTATATGGCACAGAGACGGATTTTCATATTTTCGTTCGGGGGTGGATAAATATCTGGGGGGAGTGCTGCTGCTTGCTTTGGCCGGGGCCTGGTGGCAGCACCCGGAAAGGCCAAGGAAAAAGTTTAACAAAATTTGTTTTCTAGGCCGGCATGGCAAGATCTGAGACCATAATATTGGTAATTTTACAAATTTAGTAGTAAGAATAATCAAATATGAAACAATCAAATCAAAATATATATAATTTGTGGGGGTGCAAAAACTTTTGGGGGCGGTGCCAAATGCCTCTGGGGGTGTGTGCAAATCATTTCTGGGGGGAGGTGCGCACCCCCCAGAAAATCTGTGCCTGATATGGCATTTGAATATATATGATGGGAAACATTTCCTGCTGAATGTAAGAAAATTTCTTGCTATTAAAAATTCTCTGGCAGTGTTGCTGCTGGTGCTGTCGAATTTTTTTTCAGCACTGGAATTGTGTGGCATTATACAGAGTAAAGTAAGTATGACATACTAGGGTGCATTGCAGCTTAATGGGTTAATATTTAACCGGGATAGGTTAGTACCAATAAGATGTCGAAACTCTATGCTTTCTGTGTCATTTTTTATGACATTTGCAGTAGTTAAGGAAGAAGGCATTACCCCTAGAAAAATTAACCCCCCCCCCCACCGAGGCTAGATCTGCCTGAGCAATAGAAACTATACTAAAGAATTGCAAAACTTGTGCACTAAACTATATTTATCTCATCAACGCAATAATTCACTAATCTATGTAAATATGGCAACACCATTGATCTCATAGGCAACACTACTCATTCATGCAATTTTATGCTGGCAAACTATGTCTAGTTTTACTTTATTTATGAACAATGCGTTCACGTAATTGCTTGGGATCTACGTCAGTAATACAATATATCTGCGGCTTGTAGGGGAAAAGATAAAAATTACGTGATATAAAAATTTTAAAAATGTATACATACACGTTCTGTTTGCTAAGAGATTAGCAACTAGTATTGTTTAAGACCTTCCTTATGACAAAAATGATAAACTATTCACTCAGATAGGCTTATAACAGAATATTCTGATTTCTGGCTTGCGCAATAATACAGCTAGTTTCGTGGCATCAAGACAAAAGCACTCTAAAAACGCTTCAAAATATTTTGAAAATATTATAAAGTTGCTATTAGCAATGCAAAACTTTGTTATTAATCTATTCCTGGCTGCAGGTATCGAAAAACCACAAACTAATCCCACAAAATCGCGTCAGAATTTTTAAAACTATTACAGTAGACGAAAAAATGTTGCTAATAATTCAGTATATTCGTTCGTGTTATTTATAATTGCAACTATTCAGTTCTTTTAATTATCCGTTCACACTTCAAAATAATGCTTAAATTTGTACGATCCGCTGTGTGAACACTGAACAAGTACAGTAGACTTCAGTTGCCCACCAGAGTATAAGCCGCAGAAAATACATATATAGAAAATACAATCTTTTAAACAAAAAAAAGCTTTTGACAAAGCTATCTATCAAGTCTAACGATACTTTAATTACAGACGGCAAGCTGAAGAATAATCTATAAAAACGCAATGAAGCGAATAAAAATATTCCACTAAAATCGTGGGATCTACAGGGGTAAATCGTGGGATCTACAGGGGAAAAACCTCTCAAACCGTTTCCGAAAGCGTTTTAGAACCACTAAAAAATGTCCTCAAGCACTCAAATGGCTTCCCAAATTCCCCCGAAATCTATTCGTCCAATTTAAAAACTTTTAAAAAACTTTTATGTAAAATTTATTCGCAGCCGCCGTCGGACTAAGTTAGCGAGTTATTTACACACTTCGAAATTTACATAGCAATTTTCCTCTTGTAATTTGTATGGAAATAAGCAGAAACATATATGTTTTAAAACCTAGAAATAAAAGCTAGAAATGTTGCTATCTTACCCTTTCGCACAAAGTATTCGAAGGCATTCCAAGTTGCCACAGCTTGCGGCCCAATGGACTGGTGTCATCCCGTCCTCGTCTCTTTTATTTGCATCTCGCTTGTTGACATGGCGGAGAACTTCGAGCAGGCCATCTTTGGCAGCTTTGTGATAAATCCCAGACATTTTTAACAAGGTTAAACACTTTAAATCAACTATCAAAGCGAGAGAACTTCGACGGATGAAAAGTCCCTAAACTCCCGTTAGCATTTTGCCAAGGCTGCAACTGAGCATCCAGAATGCAATGCGACGCCAGGTGTAGGAGGGCAACAGCTGACTTTCCCACATTTTATATTCAGTTTTTTTATTCGAGAAATTCCAATGAGGGAAACCCTGGCGAGATGGCCACAAAGGCCCACAATCTAAAATAACTTAATTTAGCCTATACGGGGAAATAATACGAGCAAGTAAAATTGCTTGACCTGACGATAAGAACCGATTTTAAGGCATGTTATTAACAGAAATGTTTGCGAATACTAATTTCATGTTTTGTAAACTATTTTCACATAAAGCTCCAAACAATTCTATTGCTCGTATTACTTCAGAATAAACCTTTTAAATCCCGAAACCCGTGTAACTTTATTTAAACTTTTCCGTATGTCTTATTTTTACATGTAAAATAGAGCGACCCTCAAAATACTGAATCCGCCAATTTTGCAGTCTCGTTATCAAAATAAACTACTGGGAGTGCTGATACTCTCGGCATGAGATACAGAAGTTCAAATTCCAAAGGAGAGATAAATTCAAATGGTCGCTGCACGTTGTATTTTGTATTAATATGAAAAGAAAAAATATTGCGGCTTTTCCCAGAATAAGTATAAGCCATTTATTGGTTTCTATTCTGGCAATTGTAATGTGGCTTCCCAATTTTCTCGCTCATTGTCTTTGCGGTCAGGAGCAAATAATTTTCCTAATTTATCTGACTTATCGATGGACACTTAGCATATGAATGAAAACCAGCATAATTTTAGATCTATTAGCTTGTAAAAAAAATTAAAAGTCTAGTGAAACTACACATTTAACTTCGATTGAAATGTTCGTAAATAATTGCGCAAATTAACATGTAACCCCCCCCACCACCACCACCACCACCATTTCAATGTTGCTGTATGTGCTGGCAGAGTTATCAACAAAACAAATGTCAATAGAACACAGAACCACTGAAGATAAAATGTGAATTTTAGTCGGTTGGGGGCGAAAGGGGGTTTAATTATGTTCCTGCTTCAGCCTACCGGTCCAGGAATTTTGGTATAGTAAAATTCCATAGTAAAATTTTAGAACCGATTGATATCGGTATTTGCCTTGACTGATACTTTTCAAACATAAAATTTCATAGTCTAAAACACGACCCGGTCAAACTCAGGTGGGAATCCGTGGGAATGGCTAGGAAAGTCTTTGTTCAAAATGCGGCAAGCAATAAATCATGAACTGATAAGTAAATATGATTTTGTGGGAATTCAATTAGTATACACTTCATTCAAATGAAGCATTTTACATCATTCAAACAAGTTTCTATGTTTGCCTTTCTGAAGGGATTAGTTATAGACGGAAATTTCCAGTGGAATTTTTATAAAATGTGATTGGCCGACAATTGAAAATTTAACAATGATATTTTCGGAAAATTTTTCTGTCCTTGAAAAAGAGTTGAAATGGGCTTTTGCTTGACTTTAGACCTAACCAGGGTCAGTTGCGAAAAGTGCAACTATACTCTATAGGTCCTCTGGTAGGATATAGATTCATGTCTCGCTGTTTATGAGTTAGGGTTAGCGGTTAGGGTTAGGGCCTGTGATTCCGGTGCAGCCCTCTGCCGTTCTAACCAACAGAGCTACAGAGACCAGTTGTCGAGCTCTAACCACAAGTTCATGTATATAGGTTTTTGTATGTAGGGTTTTGTAGATGGAAATTATGGAGTGGAAATTTTATACAATCCATAATTTCCATCTACAAGACTCTTCAGGTATTGTTCAACCGAGTGAGATGAACACAATCTAGATCCCCCGTTATAGACGAAATTTCGCATAGGGACTTGTTCATACGTTTTTCAAATTTATTTCTGGTTCAAAATCAGGCAGAGAATTATTTTTTATTCTCGGCTAATTGCGTATGGCAACGCAGGTAGCCGAGAAGCCCTGGGAACGAGGATGGATTCAACGTATAATTCCCACTGAGCTCTACTATATATATCTGGAGATCGTGCTCGCAAATGAAAAGTGTCCGCAAAAACATGGCGGATTTCGAGCTCCGCGTCCACTATTCTCATGGTATGTTAACTGACCACAGCTCAAATGCGTGCGGGCGACATTTCCCACTCCCCCCTGACCAGAGAGCCACTGATCTTTATAATTTTTAAAAAAGGAGTACATTGGAGAAGATTTGAAATTAGTAAATATTTATAGTTACATATAGGTGTAAAAGGTTTCTTCTGAACTTTACCAACTACTATCAAGTTCAAGCTGGATCATTAATTCATTCGAGCGACTATCTCCACAATTTCTGCTATGAAATGTATAAATGATGATCCAAACAGATAATATATTGAGCTGAACGAATGGTGGTATTTTTGCCCATGTCGCATGTATGCTTTTGCAGTATCGGTAGGTGCAGACCTACAGTATTTTGTGTGGAGCCGTAGAAAATGAGTAATGAATTACTAAATTAACGAAAAATTGAAATAATTGTCATGATGGGAAACAAACTTTTGAAATTTCGAGGACTATCAATGGTGATTCTGTTTGAAACAGAATCCATATGTTAATAAATAAACAACAAAAGCTGAAAAGCACTACAGGTGAGGCATTTTTCAAAATTTTAATGAAACACTTGTACTGTACCATACATTCATATATTGAAATATACTATAATTTATTACTATTATATAATATTTCAACTCGATTACTACTTGTATATAATGCACATATCAATGGCCTGCCCTGGGGGGTACACCCTCGGGACTTTGCAAAAACATGGTTCTAATGCATTAATTCCCCCTGCCCTAGAGTTCTGATTTCTATAATCACAAATAGCAAAAAAGACGACTCTGAAAATGCTATTTCCAAGATCTAGAGACTCAAAATTTTCAAAATTTCCCTGCTCAGGGGTGGGCATCTACAAAAAGGGACCATACTATATTGAGTGTGGAGAGATGACAGATGGTTGTTGGTGACAAAAAGCTTGGTGTGGTATCGTATGTACTAGTAGGGGGGTCCCGGGATTCTCCCCCAGAAAATTTTTTGTATTTTTCCACCCCTAGAACTGAAATGTGAGCATTTTCTGAAACAGATTTTTGGATATACAGCGTTACATTGTGCGTTGATAGACTGAATCTGATCAGTTAAGTGTATTTGTATGGTATGTTTATGTAAATACCACAACTGGGTCACTCAGGGGGTAGCAAGCTTGTTAAACTTAGTGGGCCCGACTCCCATGATTGCGAGGCGCTACCATGGTTGGTGCCCAGACAAGTTCTTAAAAAAATCCTGTGTTCAAATCATTTTGCTGCATGAAGATGGGTCATGGGTTAGGGTTATGGTAGGACAAATGTTGCATTGCAAAATAGTAACACATAATATATACTTTTAATCACATATGGTTGAATCATATTCACCAGGGTAAAACATCATGAGCTACATTAAACAGATTGTCCTAATATCTAACTTTACATGCAATGCACACCTGTTTCATTGCTATTAATTTTTCAATCCACACTGGGGGGTGGGGGTCAGAAAAGTTTCTACTTTTATGAGGGGGGAGGCACAAAAAGTTTGCCTTCAGTTCTGTAGGGGGGGGGGTCAAAAAAGTTTTCAATCCTTATTTTTCCCATTTCCCAACACCCCCCTCCCCATAAATAATGACCACTCCCTAATTTCCCCGGGGTTCACAGGCAGAACACACAGATCAAATACCAAATTCCCCCTCGTTTCCCCCCAGTTGTCCCGGGGGTGTACCCCCGGGCAGGCCGTTGATATTTGCATAATTCTCTTTCAAATTGTATAAAAAGTATGTTGTTCCTCTTGCATTTCTACTATACATATAATTTTAATGTATAAATTTGTGAACACAGCCATGCTTTGTTGAAACAAAACTTATGTCGGTTTATGCATATATCATCTAAATATTTACTGCTGTTTGTATTTTTCAGATTATGGAAACTGCACATTGGTGATCATGTCTACTCACAATGTACTCTGTGCACATTATGGGGAAAGTAAATCTGCACTAATTGTAATATATTCGATGGCAATTCATGGCAATAGAATCATATTGTTTGACCAGGCAAAGGATTAGTTAATTAAGGATCTAGCACACCAAACAATAATTATATATTATTTTATTAAACATATTCTTATGTGCATTATTAATTTTCATTACAAATTAGATTTATTCAACATTTAAAAAGTTTAATTTAAAAATATATACAATATTATATTACTATTACAGGCCATCAACAAGTATTCTTGGTCTCATACCCATGTTTTATTTTGTTAATTCCATAACGTATTTTCGGGTTGTCCCAAATTATACAAGTGAAACACGCACATAGCTATCGCTTTTAATAAAAGAGATATTTGATGTCATATTTACTTCAATATATTTTATTGAAGCTATGCCTGGCTATAATTAGCTAATATTTCCAGTGGTGGCACCAGCAGTGGGGACATCCCC